GAAGACCCGTTTCCTCCACGAAGGCTCCTGCAGGGGTGTGAGCTGCGCGCTAGCCAATGGGCGCGCTTCGAATGTCCCTCGCCAGCCAATGGCGGAGGAGCTTTCCCGTGGAAGAGCAGCAGGCTAGCACGTGAACGCCAAGCTGGCTATGTGGGAGTGACCGCGGTTCCAGTAAACGGAGAAGCTTTTCTGCTTTGCGGGGAGACTCGGAATGGGGCTGCAGCCACCCCTGACGGAGAAGACCGCCGTGCGGAGCCCCCTCCCCCCTCCTAATCCTTCTCATACAACGATAGGGGAACTGAAAAGGTGGTTGTATACAATAAAACTTTCGCAGGCCTTTACCCATCCCATTCGGGGTGTAATCCCATAGGAATGCTTGGTAAACGCGGTACCTTAGTTTTAATACTGTGTGAACATATTGCAGTGCACGAGAATTCGGAGTTTTCAAAATGTTTCAAAAATGGCAATTTAAATTCGACAGAAAACAGACGCTTTGGGCGTAGTAGTTCAGGCGCCAGACTAGAAATTTATAGTCCTCTCTTTTGCACAAAGTCACTTTGAGCTAGTCCGTCTCTCAGTCCTAGGAAGCAGGCAATTTTTTTCTTCTAAGAAAACTGCAAGGACTTGTCCAGGCATTCACCAGGAGAAGGGAAGGGAAGGGAAGTTATAAGTATATTTCAATATAAGGTTTGCTGTATAAATTTCTTGCTCAACCCTCTTTTTCTTTAAACTGAAACAATCCTTTGGATGTAAAGGGTGTAAGTGCCAGGTCCTGATTAACAGGATGAATTTCATGGCTGAAGGGGGTTTGAATCTGCTTGAGTTTAACTTCCAGGCTTCCAGCAGTTGTTACCGGATACATAAGACTTTCAGGAGCATCTCCATGGAAACTTTTTCTCTCTCAGGAATGTTTCATGTGTGGATTTCACTAAAGGTGATGCTTCTCATGTGTGAATGGCTGTCCCAGGTAGAATATCTTAGCTGCAAACAACTGTTCCTTTAAAATGTTTTCCTTTTTACTAAAACATAGTACTTACTGGCAGATGGTGTGGGGAAATCAAAGGATAATAATATGAACTACAGACAATTATTTGAGTTCAAATTCATGTTGTGCCATGAAGTTTGTTTGATTAACCTTGGGCAAATTACTGATACTGTAAGCCACTGAATGGAATTGTGATGAAATGTTAACTTGTCTTTCAATATCAACTTTCTCTACTACTGTGTTTTAATTAAAGTTTTAATTAAATGTTTCTATTTATAGCAGCTGATAGTTTGTTTTATGACCTGTTAATTAAGATGGAGAAGGTTGACTATCTTGAAGTGCATGCATTCAAGTATCCTATGTCTGCACATACTTCCAGTTATACTCGCACACACCATGCTCATTCATTGCACAGAATAGTAACGAGCAGATCTGTGCCCTGAGGAGCTTGCAGTCACGTTGTTTGACCTGAAATGTGAAATATGAATATCTGTATAATCATGATTGACAAAAATTTGCAATAATGAATGGCATGCATTTGGAAATGAAAGAGATTAAAGAGTTGATATAGGCCTGGAATTTTTTTAAAAAAATGAAATAGTTCAGGGTAACTTCAACAGTTTCCAAGTAGTTTATCAAACTTTCTATTTGGTCACTGGGAACCCGGCCTGATATGATTTGATCTTGATCAATTAACTTACTTATATCTTCTGATGTCCTTTTGCAGTAGGATTAATGTATATTGACAGTATGCAGTGCCCTTTGGACAATGAAAGTTACAGCAGCACTTTCAGAAAATTGATGCAATCACTATGTTAGTCAAAATTTATGCTGCATGCATGTACTGGGTGATATTTTTTGGGAGGGGGTGGAGACGTTCAATGAAAAGAAGTTACTGGATTTCAACACTTGCATAAACAACTGGGATTTTTTTGCTCCATTTGCATAGTATAAAGAATAGAGATATAAACAATTGTTTTATCTGTTCCAGTAGCAAAAAGCAGTTAAAAGAGCACTTCTGAGTTGAAAGGTAGCCTGAAACATATCCACCTATCCTGAATCCCTTTTAAGCAATATCTTTCTGCTCCATTCCATTCTTCCACTGAAACTCAAACTCCCAAGGTTGTTTTTGATATAGGAAAGAGTATTCTACTAAAGGTATGTATATTGCTGCATGTGACATTGTATTTTTTGTTACTTTATTCTAATCTACTTCGAGATTTTTAAAAGAATAAAATGGTATGTGATATTTTGCAATGAAAGATGTTCTTCATAACTGTCAAGAATTCAGTTTGCTTGGTCTGAAATTGAGGTCTACTAAAGCCACCCTTTTCAGTGGCTTTCTTTAATATGTGATCAGAATGTGACAGCATAGGAGGCCTCCCAGCTGATTTGCTTTTAGCATTTCTCTGATCCTGGGGGAGCTTGTAATGATGCTGAGTATGTTTACCAAAAACAACTGTTGTGAACTGAAGTATAAGCTGAAAAGGCCATCACTTCCTCCCTGCCACAGGCCATTAAATTCACTTAGATTTGTGACTATGCTTGGAGATTATAATACTTTCTTAATTTGCCTTTACTGAGTCTTACTCTTAGTTATGCTTCATAACCTCTGGGGAGGAAAAGTGTCTACCAGGGTGAAGGCACTAGATTGATAAAGGTACTATATTTCTTCTGATTTCAATTAAGGTTGGTGTTTGTTTTCATGGGAGGTCCTTAATAAGCATTTTTTAAGATACAGTATTGATCTTTAAAGTATAAAAGGATGAAATGACAGAAGATACTGTATTTTTTGGAGTATAAGATGCACCGAGTATAAGACACACCTTAGTTTTGGGGGAGGAAAATAAGAAAATGCTGATTGGCAGGTGGATCGGCCTCCCAGAATACTCCCAATCAGCTGTTCCCAGAGGTGAATTTTAGCAACAAGTTCCTTGGTTGTGAGCTCTGTGCCTTGCTTTTTTTTTTTTGGCTTTTTTTTTTTCTGCCTCTGAAAGCCTCCGAAACAGAGCTTCAGAAAAAAAGCCTCTGAAGCTGTTTGGGGGCTTCTTTTCTGAAGCTTCTTTTCTGATGCTTTTTTCAGCCTAGCTGAAACCTTCTTTGAGAAGCTGGGTGGGGCTACATTCGGAGTATAAGACACACCCAGATTTTCACTCTCTTTTTGGGAGGGAACCGTGCATTTTATACTCCGAAAAATATGGTAACTAGTATAACGTAATAGCTGAGATAGTTATTGTGATAGAAGGCTATATATTGATTAGGTGACTGTAGGCTTTCTCAATTTCATCCTGCATAAAGGGAATGATAATACAATTTGTCTTAGCAGGTTACTGTAAAAAGTACTGAAAGTAATATATACAAATATTGAACTTTCTGCTATATTTGTGCTACACAAATGTGTGATTTATATTGAACTTTCTGCTATATTTATCCTATATGAATACGTATCATTTAACTATTGCCTTTCTACCCATTGGGTACATTTAATTGCTTAAGAAGCCTGGCAGGAAAAAAAATGCAATTCTGTGGAATAGCATATTTTTCCATTAACGGTTATCATTATTTGGTAGTTGCTAACCATTTCTTTTTCCTTTTATCCATTTTTTTTCCTTTTAATGGCAAGGAGTAAGAAGACTCAAAACTGCATATTTTCCATTGAATGCTGTTTCTTTTAAGGGCAGGAGATGAGGCTTTCACATGCCAATAATGCTGATCAGCCTTCTTTTTTCTCCCAGTCGCCCATTCCCTTCATACCCTTCAAACACAATAGCTATTCTGAGCATTTGTGAACTTACACAAATCACAATTTCAAAAAATGCCACCTGTACCAATCTGCTTTGTACTTTATCTCCAGTTTATTAGTCAGAGAAAAAGGAATTTCTTCTGCCTACGTGTAGATCTCTGTTAGAAACTCCACCCAGAGTTACCTTATGGTAAGACAGGCAGCCACTAAATTTAATAAATAAATAAATAAATGAATAAGTAAACAAACACACACACACACACACACACACACACACATACACATACATACACACACACGTTATTTCAAGATGCAGGAATATCAATATTATGATAAATTCAGCAAGATGTATGAAATACAGAATTTTTTTAAGAGAGAATGTTTGATTATGTCTATCAAGTCTTTTTCATAGCAACCAGGTAGCTAAATTTACGAATGTGGGTACAGGTATATAATACACCTACATGCTTACAATTGTCTGTTCAAAAGAAAAAATAGTAGATGATTCCAATTCTGTCAAAGGTATTTTACTTTGTATATGAAATACTGTTCATACTGTATTTAATGGATGTGTTTTCTCCTGCTGCTGCTTACTGCATTGGCTTTTCCAAAATTAAAGTTCATTCACTCGGACATGCTCAAAAAAATTTCATCACCACTAGTCAATTTAGATGGATATAAAATTTAAAGTATTGTTGAGATGTGGAGAGGATTAATAAAAAGTTGAATCTTAATGTCAAAACCTTAAGATAGTCTTCCTCTTTTAGTTTTGCTTTTCTGAATTCTCAATACACTAGGTGTATGTCCTGTCATTTTTGGGCCTAACTCTAAATCTCTACAAAAAGCTTTTGAAATTGCTTCATCATAAACAAGCATCAACTTTTGAAAACTGGCATCTATTTAAAGAGTGACCAGATTAAACAAGTACAAATTATCTCCAAGTCACTGGACATGACCAAAGAATAAATTTACATTGTTTGGTGTTTTTCTTCTCAAGGTCTGTCCTAAATTGGAATCTTTATAGAGGCCAACGAGTTAATTTTAAAACAAGACTTGCATAATATGAGACTGGCTTTTAAACATACTTTATTTGGTTCAGGTAATGACTTGGCTTGCTTGCCAAAAAGTCTGTAGTGATGTTTAACAAACTTTGTTGGCCGAGTGGCATTGCAATAACCAAACCCTGGGTCTTCAATAGATAAGCATAGGAAACAATATTCAGCTTCTGGAAGCTGCTGGTAAAAAGCTGCTGGTGAAATTGGATAGCAGCAG